CCAACCAGGAAGATCAGGGATGGGTATGTCCAGTATTTTACAAAAGAATTAAAGGTCTTCCAGATATCGAAGAGTCATTTTTCCCATGACGCGTTGCAGAAAGATTTAATTGGAAGCCCCATCGGTAGGTTACGTTAGCCTCTCGCAGGTTAGTAAGCAATTGTTGAAGTAGCCTGCGTTTCTGGAGGGTCAGCCAGGAAAGATCAAGAAATAGCTGGACAGGTGTCTCTTCATAAAGGATAGGACAAGGAGTGGGCTTTCCTCAAAGTGTAGGAGTGGATATCCCGTGGTCTAGACAGGGCCTTTAGGTTTCAGGGCCCTGTGAACTCTATCCATTTCAATATGATGTTGAGACGGCTCACATGGGATGCCAATAAACAAGGTTTACAGAGTATCTTTCAGGTCTTCAGAGCTGTCTCTTTCTGGAAGGCCGCTCACTCTGATGTTATGCTGGTTGCGGTTCTCCAAATCTTCCAGATGTTATTGCATGTCAAGAAGTATATGATGATCATCAACTTGTTGGGTTTGAATGCGGAGGACTTCAATTTTAGTAGACTGAAGGTCTTTTTCCACGTCTTCCACTCTGGTGGCAAGGTGGTGAAAAGGAGTTTGAATTTTTGAAAGCCTTCTTTAGTTGGAAGGGAGTGGAAACGTTCTTTCCGGGCAGCTAGCTCATCCGTTGATAGAGTAGGGGACACATAAACGGAGGTAGGAGAAGGCCTGGCAACAGTAGGGGGAGAGTCCAAAGGCTCATACCAGGCATGTGGCTGGGAGAGTTGTGGGGAGCCAGGGGACTGCATTGCAGCCATGGATGGGCATGTAAAGCTGACCTCCCGAGACTGTGGTGCCCGTTGTGGCTTTAAAGAGTTGGGGGTAGAGGTAGGGGCTGCAGGTGGCACTGCTGGGGCTACACTGATCATCAGGGCACACTGATCATCAGTGCCCTGATGATCAGTGTACATGTCCCCTCCGCGGAAAGCCGATTACCGGCTCTCTTCTCCTCACGAGCTGTCAGCGTGACAGCTCGAGAGGAGAGAAATGCCGATAACCGGCATATCCCTGTTTACATGTGATCAGCTATGATTGGGCACAGCTGATCACATGACCGAGCCAACATCTTCGGCTCTTTCCGTGATCCGCTGTGTCCGAGGGACACATCGCACCGCTGGTCGCCGCGCTGCGTGCTCCCTGAGCCGTGCATGCGGGGTGAGAATGGGAGGACGTCCGATGACGTCCTCCCAGAACAAGAGAACCACCTTGTGTCTGTCATATTACTATATGGCGGGCGGGAGGTGGTTAAAAAAAAAAAAAAAAACTTAATATATGCTCCAATTTTTTTGTAAAATATGAAAGAAGATGCGAGTAAATAGATACATGTCAAGTTTTAAAATTGTGCACACTTGTGGAATGGCGACAAACTACGGTACTTAAAAATTTCCATAGGCGACGCTCTAAAATTTTTTTACAGTTTACCTGGTTAGACTTACAGAGGTCTAGCATTATTGCTCTTGCTCTAACATTTGTGGCAATACTTCACGTGTGCTGTGAGCAACGCTTACATATGCGTATGCGTTCACTTGGGCGCTCAAGCACGGAGGGATGGAGGCGCTTTAATTTTTTTTTTCTTATTTATTTTATTTTTACACTGTCCTTTTATTTATTTTTTTTATCACTTTTATTCCTATTACAAGGAATGTAAACATCCCTTGTAATAGAATAAGGATGACAGGTTCTCTTTAAGGAGCGGTCTGGAGTCAAATGGACCCCATATCTCTCCTTTTACCTTTAAAAGCAAAAGATCAAAAACATTTTTTTACATCTGCCCCACAATGGAAGTGACATCATGACGTCGCTCCGGTCCTCCAAGGCCACAGAGACCATAGAGTCTCTCATCGCCCTTGTGACCAGCTGGCCTCACTGTTGGATTGTTTCTCGGGTGCGCTGGTTTTAATGGTAAACCCGAGAAACACCAGCGAGCAGCAGAGGGGGCAGGGGGATGTCCCCTCCCACTGCTACTAAAAGTGATCCCATGGCTAATGAGCCACTCGGACCACTTTTAAGAGAAAGCTGGCCATCGGCTGAAAAAAAGATACCAGGTTATGGCCGAAGATATCAGGTAAACCACTTGCAAACTGCAACGTATATGTACATATTGCGGTCGGCAAGTGGGTACATAAAGACAATACAGTGGCACTTCTTATTCAAGGTGTCTCAAGGATTAGACCCCCATTACTTCACCCTGAGCGTCCTTAGCATTTCACTCTTGTTCTCTCTGCTCTGCAGAAACCACCACTTGAACCTATCAGGGAACTTTCCTTGGGTGATCTCCCCTGCAAAGTGGTCTTCTTGGTGGCTATCACATCTGACAAACTTATTACAGAGTTAACGACCCTCTCTTGTAAGGAGCCCTTTCTTTTTCTTTACAAGGATAAGGTGGTATTTTATTATTTTTACCCTAAGGTGGTATAAGCCTTCCACCCTAATAAAGGCATTGTCCTTCCTTGGCCCCCACTCCTAAGGATACCAAGGAATTTGCATCCCATTGTTTAGATGTAGTCAGAACTTTCAGAATCTAATAAATCTAAATGCCACAGCCTCTTGGCAGCGGGTTCTCAGAAAGGACATTCTGCTTGTAAGTCCACGATTGCTAGATGGAGATGACATCTCATTGTAAGAGCTTATGCTCAAAATGATACAGTACCTCTGGTACCCTTTTGTGCTCATTCCACCAGATCAGTGGGTGTTTCCTGAGCATTCTGACATCAAGTGCCTTTTGCTCAGTTTTGTAAGGCTGCCAAATGGATTTCAGTTTATTTCAGTTGGTTGTTCAGGTCTCTGCTCACGCACACAGTAAATTGACCACTCACTGCTTCCTCTTGCACTCTGATCACCATAGTAGCAAAAGGTCTGAAAGTTGATTTTTGCATGCTGCCAAGGGCTATCATGTCCTCTTTGACAGCAATTGGTTGCTCGGGCACAAGCTCTTCACTAAGGGAGTTAAAGCATATGTAAACCCTCACCTTGTAAAACAACCTATTCAGTTTAAAAAGAAATGAACGGTAAAACATTTGTGCATAGATGCGAAAAAACATAATCACTTTTTGTTACCTTTTTCTATAGGTGATCACATTCCTTCTGTTCTCAGATGCATAAGAGCAAGGTTAGAGAAACAGCAGGACACTGATCTTCCCAGTGAAAGATTGTGTGGGAGGGGGTGTCAGCAGAAGTCTGACCATTGGAGGAGAGCAGGCTGAGTTCCCAGCAAAGGTAGAGAACTGACCACACTGTGTTCTCCTGCCTAGTGTGGTCAGTTTTTAATAAGAAAGCAGAGCGACTGGTAGGAATACCAGGGGTTTCTTACAAAAGAATCAATACATAGAGCACAGGATACTTTTTCATACAAGTACATAGTACACCAGGCACATATCAGGAATATAAAATGTTAGATTTACATATTCTTTAAGGCGAGCATGGATACGTGCCCCATGCCAATAAATACTAGGCTTTTCAAGGAGGGTAGTAAGATATAATGACATAGACTGGCCTCTAAATACTATATTCATTTGACCACCCTTTCTTTAAAGGGTACCACACTCATCCCCATGATTACTTATGGCTACTGGTCAGTAAGGTACTCATAGAAGCTAATTAGATTTTATTTTTCAAATCAAACCATGAATGTATTTACTTTGAGAAAAACCTTCACATACCCTAAAGAATAAAATGGTATATGACAGAAATGAGGCTATTAACAGCTATTTAGATTTAATTTTTGCAGCTTAATTTAGGAAGCAAATTTCTAAGGGCAATAGCTTCATATGCATCAAAAATGCAAATAGCCACTAGAAGTTTTCTTACTTATAAAGCAATAAATTCAGTGTATAAAAATACTAATAATATTGAATTTATGAATAAAGTGAACGACTAATAAATCAATTGACGTGCTTGATTAAATAATTAAGTATTTAGATCGCCAGGTACTTTTTACACCCTCTCTCCAGGTGTATGGATGTTAATTTCATATATCATATTGTACGCGCTCCAAAATTAATAAATCTAAGTGCTCTAAATAAATAAATAAATATTGTATATAACTAAAAATTCAATAATAATCTATATCCATAATACTTAAATTCAAATTGCATAATACTTGAGAAGTGAATCAAAAAAATTTCATTAATATTTGTAAATCAATGCAAAAAAACTTGCCTGAAAAACTATTAAAAGTGAAAAAAATATATAATGATATATAATGAAAATATAAAAAATATAAAAAATAGTTCAGTTCATACGAATTGAGATGGTAATGTGAATCAGATTGGCGTGGTAAGTCTATGTTCATGACATGAACTTTCTCCTCAATTCAGCTTTTCTCAATTAGGATTTTCTCCTCTATCTGCTTGGCTTATTCCTCCATGAACGATACATACATAGAAAAGGGAAAAAGAAACATAGTGTCTTATCCTATATCATATGCGCCCCCATTTTCAATACCCCCCCTCCAATTAAGAGAGGCTCAAGGATTTTGTATAGACTTTTTAAGTGAGAACAGCACTTCTAAACAGACAAGTTCAATATTTCCTGGAATCAGCAGTAACTTGGGATTTCACCTTCAGCCCCATTTGCAGGCTAAATCTGGTGTAACAGCAAAACAAGTCTCTTGTTGATAATCAACAGTGGTAGGAAAGGGGTTATTTTTTTTTTCTGGAAGACACCATAAGAATTAAACATGTGCAGACACCATTGTTTTAACTGTGGCCATTTTTTAGTTCTTCCCATTGATCAGTTTGAACATTAATCAGTATTAATAGCAAATGCATAGCCTTTATAGTAAAATATTTTTTTCTTGGAATTTATTTCAGATTTATTTAGAATACCTATGAGAGCTTAAACTGTAATGTGTATAATTGGTATACTGTGTGACTTTGCTACTGTAAAGATAACTTTGATAGCAGAATTACTTCTATAATGCATCTTTAAATGAAATACTTGTGTTTTAGGAAAAGCCAGATGGAACTGCGGTTTTTGTAGCTTCACGGTCTGCAGTGAAAAAATCATTCAGTTTTGATGATGTGCCAGAATACAATGGTCGCCTGAACCTGTCAGAGAACTACACATTGTCTATTTCCAGTGCAAGGATTAGTGATGAAAAGAGATTTGTATGCATGCTCATAACAGCAGAAAATGTTTTTGAAGAGCCTACAGTAATCAAAGTATTCAGTAAGTACCCTCTATCGTCACACTAAATGTATTAATCTTTTATCCTAGACATTTTCTACAGGTAGCTTAATTAAAAAGGGATCATTTTGTTCTTTAATATTATTTCTTATCAAATTTGAAATATGATTCACAAACTTTGTAAGTAATAGCTATTTTCAAATTGCTACCTTAGATGTGAGCATCATTTTTTCTTTGTTAATGGTTGGAAGCCAGCAGTGAGCCCCGGGAGGGGGGGGCGGAGGAAGAATCAATCCCCGGCTACATAAATTGAGGGTTGTTGTAATGTAACATATTCACAGTCCCTTGTCATCAGATATTATAGGTTTCTTAAGATATACAATATAGGGCATTTAGCTGTAACAATGCTCAGTAATGCAAGGTTGTCTGCGCTCTGCTGGAATTCATATTCATAAAAAATGTATTCATAATGTAACACATTTATGGATTGACTTTGTTCATACTGTAAATATACTATGCTCCTTTTCCACAAATTGGTGGATGTCCTTATGTTTAGGACAAATCTCAAATAAGAGCGGGCTGCTTCACCATTTTAAGAATTTTATAGAAATTACAACTCATTAACTTTCAATTATTGTAGTTATAGAAAGAGCAATCCAGAAACTAGTTTTGGACTATTTTACAGCAGACACCAAAACTGTGCTAATGATCACTCAATTAACTTCCCACCAATCCTGTCCAATTCTGACATTTCTCTCCTACATGTAAAAGTCTTTTTTTTTTTTTTTTTGCTAGAAAATTACTCAGAACCCCCAAACGTTATATACTGCTCAAAAAAACTAAAGAAACACTTTTTTTAATCAGACCATAGCATCAAGTCAGTTAAACTCCTGGGATATTGATCTGGTTAGTTAAGTAGCAGAGGGGGTTGTTAATCAGTTTCAGCTGCTTTGGTGGTAATGAAATGAACAACAGGAGCACTAGATGGGCAACAATGAGCCGACTCCCAAAACAGGAATGTTTTTACAGGTGGAGGCCACTGACATTTTTTTTCCGAACTTGTATTTTCGGACTGTTTTTCATTATTTTGCATTTCGCTAGGGTCAGTGTCACTAGTATCATGAGGCTATACCTGGATCCTACAGAGGTTGCACAGGCAGTCCAGCTCCTCCAGGAGGTGGGTGTATCATTGTCAAAAGTCTACAATCAAGAGAAGACTTCACAAGAGCTAATACAGAGGGATCACCACAAGGTGCAAACCATTCATAAGCCTCAAGAATAGAAAAATCAGATTAGACTGCCAAAAAACATCTAAAAAAGCCATATCGGTTCTGGAAAAACATTCTTTGGACGGATGAAACTAAGATTAATCTGTACCAGAATGACGGGAAGAAAAAAGTGTGGAGAAGACTTGGAACAGCTCATGATCCAAAGCACACAAAGTCATCTGTAAAACATGGTGGAGGCAGTGTGATGGCATGGGCATGCATGGCTTCCAGTGGCACTGGGTCATTGGTGTTTATTGATGATGTGAAAGAAGATAGAAGCAGTGTTTAGAGAGATACTGTCAACGCAGATTCCGCCAAATGCAGCAATTGAGCATGCATTTCACTTGCTGAAGGCAAGACTGAAGGCAGAAATCCACAAAGAACAACTGAAGACAGCTGCAGTTAGAGCCTAGCAAAGCATCAGAAAGGAGGAAACTCAGTCTTTGGTAGTGTCCATGGGTTCCAGACTTCAGGCAGTGATTGCCAGTAAAGAATTCTCAAGAAAATATTAAAAATTAACATTTTATTTATGATTATGTTCTTTTGTCCAATTCCATTTGAGCCCCTGAAAATGGAGGCACTGTGTATAAAAATGGTTGCAGTTCCTAAAATTTGTACTTGATATTTATGCTCAACCCCTTGAATTAAAGCTGAAAGTCTAAGGTGCATGCAAGGCGATCCAAGATGGCGGACATCTGAATGGTAAGCTCCGCCGACCCTCAGCTTTCACAGTCCTCCCGCTCCTCCTCTGCAGCACCCACAGACTCAGGAGTAATCCCCCCCCCCCCCCAAGTCAGGATGTCCTCAGGCACCCCCCATGGGCAAAATCGGGCAATAGAAGCCACCAGACCCACGGCCTTCCATGATGGATCGCTTCTTTACTAGGCCTGCATCCCGGCCTCAAGTACCTGTGGCGGCGGTCAAGTGAGTGCTCTGGAGGGCCTGCTGAAATGGAGGGGACAGACACAGATGCCCCTGCTGCTCTACTTCCCACCCCGATGGTCCCCTCTCTGATGGTGGATATCCTGGAGGACAAACTGCAAGTATTCTTATGCAATATCACCCACACTATCTCTGCTGAGATTGGGAAGCTGGCTCAGGAGCTTAGGGGGGAGATTACCCAATTGTGAGACCGCGCAGACCCCCTTGAGTCAAAGTTTGATGAATTGGTACAATATGTCCATGTCCTGGAAGAGGATAATGCGAATCTGGAGCACTCCATATCTCAGTTACAGCTCCAGCAGGCAGGCCTGGAAAACAGGGAGCGCCGCCAGAATATTCGTGTTCATGTTTGTGGCATCTCTGAAACGGGTCCTGACTCCCAACTTCAGCGTTACCTGCTGTCTCTGTTTATCACTCTGGCCCCGAAAGTCCCAGATGCTGATTGGCGCATGGACCGGGCCCATAAGTCATTAGGCCCGAAGCCTCCTGAGGGCACTAGGCCCAGAGATGTTATCATTCGTTTTCACTACTTTGACAGCAAAGAAGCCTTGCTCTCTTCCACCCGCAACAATTCCTCCTTGGAATTTAAAGCAGACAAGCTTCAAATTTTCAGTGATTTATCCACCATCACCTTGGCAAAAAGACGTGTCTTGAAGCCGGTCACCACTCATCTCCAGCAGCACCGCATTGCGTACCGGTGGGGATTTCCTTTCAAGCTAGTTGTCTCCAAAGATGATGCCAAAGTCTTACTTCGTGACCTGCATGAAGTGGACTCCTTCTTTAAACAGTGGGGGCTCCCTCTCCTGCCAGAAGAGGCCTTTCTGCAAACTCCTACTCCGCCCAGGTCCTCTGCTACTCCATGTAAGATCTGGGAAGAAGAGGTTTCTTCACACTCCTCAATGTCCTGGTGCGGTGGACCCCACCACCTGACCCTTTTCTGTGTATGGGGTATCCTGCCCTGTTAATTGAGCTCCTACACCCCCATGTGTGCCTTAGCAATTTTCTTAATTGTTGTGTCCTGATTACAGCTATTATGTGGATTACTGAGGTAGACACCTGCTTTTTTTGGGTCAGCTGCCGTGTTGCTTCCTTGTACGTCAGGCTTTCAGCCCTGACGACTCAGGATATTTCCAATATCCCTGGTACATATCTTTAATGATATCTCTCTTTCCAGCCGTAATTCCTACGGCCTCTGTTCTGAGTGATACATTTTATTGCACTAGGCCTTTTGCCATGCTAATCACCTTGTTCTTTATTTCTGTTATTTTCTGTTTTGCCTTATCGATGATAATTTTTCTGTATGCTGAGTTTACACAGCTGGTGCACTCATTACTGCCTCATGATGGATTTAAGGCTGTTTTCATATTATGTCAAGCGACTTAATTCAGTCAAAAAACGGTGGATGGCTCTGAAGGAGTTCAGATCCTCGGGAGCAGATAATATATTTGTTCAGGAAACTCATTTCCAACAGGATGGCTCTTTTCGCTTTGCCTCCAAGAGCTTCCCGCAATGCTAGTCAGCTTTTGATCCCTCTGAGAAAGCCGGAGTAGCTATTTTGATCCAGAAAAACTGCTCTGAGGGTCTCCTCCTCTCGGGTTGACCCACTTGGTGGTTGTCTTCTTGGAATGTATGCACGAGGGCTCTCCAATTGTGCTTTTGAATTTGTATGCACCCAACTCTGGTCAACTGTTATTTTTTTCTAAAATTATAGATAAATTATGTTCCCTACCTACTCCATGATTGTTGGGGGGATTTTAACCTGGTTATGTCCCCTCACAAGGATAGGAAGGTGCTTTTTGCACCTACGCCGTCAAAGAGACTTTGCTCCTCCCGGCGGCTTTCCGTAAACTGATCAGGGAGCATCACCTCTTTGATGCCTGGTGGGTCAAACATCCTCTCCATAAGCAATTCACATTTTATTCTACTCCTCGTTGCATGTTTTCTTGATTGAATCATTTCTTTGTCTCCGCCCCCCTGATCCCCTTTTTGGTTTCCTCGGAGATCAGCCCGATTACTTGGTCAGATCATGCCTCATTGTTACTTGATCTTCCTACCTCCTCCCCTAAGGTCTGCCACTGGTGCCTCAATGAGAGTTTTCTCGCTTGGAACATCTTCGAGAGGAGCTCTCTCGGGGCATGGATGCTTATTTTCAACTTACCTTTTGCTCAGTATCTTCAACCTCAACCCTCTGTGGAGGCCCATAAGACTGTTTTCAGAGGCCTCTGTATCTCCATGGGCTCCCATTTAAAGAAGGCCTCTGTCTGTGCTAGACAATCTCTTTTATGCCAATTGTCCTTAGCCAAACGTCGACTGCTAGATAACCCGTCTATACCTCTGCTTCAGAAAGTTTCCCATATACGAGATCAAATCAGGGCTCTTTACCTGCTGAAAACTGGTCAGTCTGTTGCCTGGGCAAAAATGTTATGTGTTTTCTAATAAACACTGTATGCTTATAAGTAGACTTAAATCTCAAATGTCCCCTTCACTGGGCCACCTACTCCATTCTGTTGGCAAACCCACATATGACCCGCATGTTATGGCTACAATATTTGGGGAATACTATGAGAAACTTTGTAATTGCCTAGCCCCTGATACTCACCCTCCCCTTCAGGTTGCTGTTTTTGATGCATTTTTTGACGCATTACATTTGGCATGTTTGTCACCTTCTGATGTTACAGCTCTGAACGCAGACATATCCATTGAAGAATTATTGGATGTTGTCAAACATCTTCCTACTCACAAGTCCCCAGGGCTAGATGGTCTTCCTTATTCATATTACAAGTCCTTCATTGGCATTTTAGCCCCCCACCTTCTAACTTTGTTTCGGGAACTCCTGAAGGGGTCGCACCCACACGATGATTTTACTCGCTCATACATTTCTGTGATCCCCAAGACCATTCTCTTCCAGATAATTGCCATCCTATAGCTTTATTAAATTCTGATTACAAGATTTTTATGAAAATTTTAGCTAATAGACTGGCTAAATGTATCTCCAAGCTTATACACAGAGACCAGGTGGGCTTTGTCCCGGCTAGACACGCCGCAGATAACACCAGGAGGACCATTGACCTGATTGATCTGGTCAGTAAGTCCCCGACTCCTACTCTCTTGTTGAGCTTGGAGCGTTTGACAGACTAGGTTGGCCATACACGTTTCTAGTCCTGGAGAGATTTGGGTTTCGTGGTCCGTTTTGTAGCTGCTTTAAAAGCTCTTTACTCCACTCCCTCTTCCCAGGTCAAATTAGCGTCGTTCCTATCCCCTTTTTTTTGGATGTCCAATGGTACACGCCAGGGATGTCCGCTCTTCCCTTTGCTGTTTGTTCTCTGGCCCCTGGCTATAGCTATCAGATCCAATCCAGATATCCATTGGATACACACCCACAATAGCAACTTTAAACTGTCTCTGTTTGCGGATGATATCTTGCTGACACTAACAGAGCCTCACATTACTCTGCCGGTCTTACATCGTATTCTACAGCTTTTCGGTGCCTTGTCGGGTTATAAGATCAACACGTCTAAAACCGAAGCATTACTGCTCCACATACCGTCTACCATTTTGTCTTCTCTTTAGTCAAATTATCCCTATCGATGGTGCCCACACGCCTACGGTATTTAGGCACTAACCTTACCTCCTCTTACCACTCCCTTTTATGAAGCTAACTTTTCCCCCCTGTTTCATGCTTTCTCAGTCCTTTAATTCTTGGAACAATCTTGCCATCTCCTTCCTTGGAAGGATTAATGTACTAAAAATGACCATACTGCCCAGACTACTGTACCTGTTTGAGATGCTTCCTGTTCCTATTCCCATGTCCAAGTTGTGTTCCCTTCAGAAATCCTTCCTCCATTTCATCTGGCATAATAAATATCACCAAATTGCCCATATTGTCCTTCTCTCTCCTCTATCTAGGGGAGGTCTGGGGGCCACAGATATTGTCATATTATTTGGCTACTCACCTTCGTACTCTTGTCTCATGGTTCTCCCAGTGCCCCCCTAATAAATGGGCCGAGATTGAATGGCTACAATTGCATCCAATGCACCCTTGTTATTTGAATAAATGTAATTTCCTTTCACAAAACCACACACTTAGAAATTAATTCACCTGATAATTTTCCATCCTACTCCTTTTTCTCACCACTGTGGTTAAAAATTAACATGGATTTGACCCGTCTAACGATTAGAAAATAAAACATACGTTCTTAAAAAGGAAACATTTTTCAATAAGTAGTCGCCTCATTACCAGTACACTGAAATCAATGCAGAATTGAATGAAACTGCTTATGTAGCTATAGATTAGTGGAGATTTGGATAATTCACATATTTGATAATTGCATAAATGATGTGTAGCTTCCCTTTCACTGTGTATTACTGCATATATACATATTCAAAACCTGCAGCTTTACCCAAGTCCTGCCAAAAGAAATGAAAGGTGTAAGGCCTACCTGTAAAGTCGTATTGAGCACTAGATCCTGTGCCAGGTGCTGCTGTTTGGATTGTTATTCAGTGCATGGAGTTAGCTGTCAGGTGCTATACAGGTGTTGGGTAGTGGAAATCCATTCTGGTGTGACCCGGTCCACGAAGACACCTTTTGTGGTGTTCTCTTCAAAAGTGAGTGGGAGGGGCATGTTCCCCCTTTAAATAATTCATCCATGTTATTTCCTGATTGCATACAATGCATGAAGGTAAAAGAATACTTTAAGCCTTTACAACCACTTTAATAACTGTTTTCATCTAGAAAATATGCTTGATAAAATGTGTGTATATATATATATATATAGGTCTCAATAAACCTTAAAGACAACCACTATGTAGATTCACCCTCTGCATCTTTTTTGGCCTGTAGTCACCAAGTCAAAGTGATAGAGAATGCACTTTTAAAAAACTTTTAGTTATTACCAGCAGATAGGGCACATCATCCAATGGAGATATTAGTTTCCGTGACAACTAAGGGAGCTCCCAGCACTTTGTAGAGAACACGTCTTGTTGTTGCGCCTTCAGGACAGAAAGTAAATCTCCCCAAAGTGACACAGCCAAAAATAAACTGACGGGTTTAGCCCTTCTCTACTCTTTCAAAAACCAAAACAAAGTTTTGGAGCTTAATCAATATATACACTTTAAGATGGGTTTTTAAATTTTTAGCATGCATTGGAAAAACAAAACACTGAATATCCTAAGCTGACTTTATCAGTAGCTTTCCTGGTGCATGTGACAAGATTAGAAAGCCTGGTTTATAAGAATATAGGATATTGTTTTGTGTTGAGCAACTTTTTGTGCATAAAAATGTTTACAGCACACAAGTTAACAAGGTAATTGTTATCTCATTGTAATTTCATTTACCTGTAATTGTTTATATTTGAAGTTTATAAGTCTGTAAAAAGCATCAAAGTCAGTATGGAATAGAAAGATCTAGAGGTAAAAAATGTTCTTATTACAGAAGGTTTGTATTCTTGCAATGTATCACTTATGTATTATCATTCTTAAGGCAATATTTTCCATTGATAACTGCACATTTTATAACAATGATCACTTTTTATTTCTTGTAACAGAGCCACCTTCAAAACCTGAAATTATAAACCAGCCAACATTTTGGAAACAGGAAAGCTAAAAATGGTAAGCTAATAAAAGTAATCATCTGACATAATTAGAAAAATCCTGTGTTTTTCTTTCAGCATCACTTGTCTATTTATTACAATTATAAAGAAATGTTTCTTTTCTATCTGCAGTGTTGAATCAGCACTTGTTTTTTTATTGATTCAGGTTGGAGACTGCGTTGCTAAAGACAGCTATCCAGATGGCAATATTACATGGTATAGAAACGGCCAAGTTCTTTTGCCAGTAGATGGAGGTATGCTCCATATTGCTTTGATTTTGTGGATCAATTTTATTCTTTGTTTCTGTTGCCTTATTGGTTAAATGGAATAATGTGTGCCCCAAGTCTAAGATTTTTTCATAGAATTTATAAAATGTATTTTGCTTATAATAGAGAAAAAAAAAATGCTGAATTCTATTACTTTGGCTTAAAAGCGTACCTGTAGTAATGTTAAGCATTGGTAATCCTCCACTTGCAAGCAGTAGCATTTAAGCTTTTGTAGCGGCCCTGAAACATTAAGCATTCTATTATGCAAATAAGGACTTAGTTGGAACTTTAACCTGCCCTCTCCTACTTTGATATCATGGATAGCCTCAAACAGCGTGAGACAGTGGGCTAAAGTGTTCTGAATGTTGGTGTTATCCTTTGTGTATATAATGTAACATGAGTTTATGAATCACTAGTGTGGTGGACAGAACTATGCATATTTTGGCATGTCATATATATTACACTTCTGAAACTTCTGAGTGGTTGATGGCAATGTGTCCATCTTTGCTGGGTTTGTATTTAAGTAGGCTGGTAGTGACTGTTGCTGGATTTTTTTGTTTTAAACTACCCCTTAAATGAACATAAAGAATATTAACTTCACTGGTGGATGGGGTTTTCATTCTTCATACTCCTAAAGTGCTATTGCTACAAAAGAATCTACTGCGTCCGACACCATCCCAGTTGTGTCTGATGCCTGGAACTCTCCGCAGAGCACTTTGATTTCAACTGAATGCCCTTACATTACCACAGGACACAGTAGTGACATAGGTGCTGACAGCTGAAACCAAATCATGTAGTGGAGGATGGCATCTGACAATTCTGGAACTGCTAGATGTGAAGATTCTGCCAAAAGATTATAACTGTTCAAAAGAGCAAAGATTGGAGGCACCTCCTGCATTATGCGAGTATGGGCATGTTGTGTGTATTATTTTTTGCACTTTATTATTTTAATATTTTTTTTTTAATGTTTAATGGTCTTACTGTTTCAAAGAGGTGTCGGTTAATGGTGATTATGAAAAAATTATTAGAAGAAAGCAGTTCAGTGTTTTAGATTTTTTTTTTCAGTATGGTTCTAAATTCTTAAAATGTCTGCAACAGAATGAAGAGTTACAAAATAAATTAGTGCTGTTCCGAGGAGTTCAGATATTTTTCTGCTGACAGAGAACTCATTTGTTTGAAGATCAATGTTTTGCATATGTAGGAATAATTGTCCATATCATAAGGTTTTGTTCCTTCAGTCTGCAGATGAAGAGTTGCCTGCTCAGATACTGTTATCCATATTATAATGAACACCAGCTCTGTGGAGGGACATGAATACTCGTAGAATTTCCTGTTTCTTTGCTACATATGCATTAATTTGATTGTACAAACATTAACATTGAATTTTATGGAGGACAGAAATGATCTGTATGAAAAACAGATAAGTTTAACATTCTCTCTCTGAATGTGAGCTTTCTAATGATTTGAATATAAGCTTTTCTGACTTGCTAGCTAAAAACCTATAGCTGAACTCTAAGATTTAACCAAAAATACTCTTGCAGTGCCATTACCCCCCCATACTATACTGCACTGCAGGGGCTAAATGCTCCTTACATCTAGGGGTTGGAGAAAAAGACTGTAATACTTAGATTACATCTCACTCTGCAAGTTCTCTTCTCTCTGATGCCCGGAGCTAAGTACTAGCTTTCACCATGCTAGTAAGAGATTCCCTGCCGGCACCTGGTGGTATGAAGTCAGCACCAACAAATAAGAGTTTTTGACTATGTCAATAATGCTGCTGGGTTTACTGACAAATATCCACAGGTGGCCTTAAGCACACTGGCATGGTCTATAGCTCTACACAGATCATTATTGTGATGGAGGAGTAGGTGGGACAGAACGCACACAGAGAGCAGTGGGACACACAAGACTTTTGACTGATTTTGAGGGCACACAATGAGTATAGCAAGGTTCTGGTAAGACAAAAGGTAAGTCCATACCACAGGGTGGGGCACAAGTATCTGTTCTGGTAGGCAACAAGGGGGATAGTTCGTAGCACCTTCTGGGCACGCAACAGGGAAACGGCCAAGGATTAAGTCCAGATTGGCACACAGCAGGGAGGCAGAGCTCTGGTGGGCAAAGATTACATCTGGATTGGCACACAGCAGGAAGGCGTGCTCTGGCAGGCAATGGGGATAGGTTCAGGTTGGCACACAGCAGGGAGGCAGACTCTGGCAGACAATGGGTTAAGTCCGGATTGGCTGTAGGGTCAGAACTAGGTTGCGAGCAGGGGGAAACTCTCTCCGCCCGGGTCCTTCTCCAGTATTTATCTCCGGAGCAGGACGCCTTGGCGTCGGGTTGTCATGGTGACAAGCCCGGACAGAATGGCGCCTCAGATGGTTGGTAGAGGGGCTCACAAGCTGGATATAAAAATAGAAGAACATCAACCACCACAGAAAGTTTCCAAAAGATGCTCTGAAGATTTAGGTAAAAAGAAATATATCTATAAGGGATTGAATAGACACCACTAATTAAATGCTCAGTATACATGATTATTACCATCTTTGTTGATAGCGTTACATCGGAAAAAAACGAGAAACACAGGTCCCAAACTGGGTACTGAAATGTAGATGTGAAATACAATGAAACAAAAAGGGGACCACTATCGGTAGCATAATAATAATGATATTAATGTTAAGCTTACCTCAATCAGAACACCAAAGGGAAGGTGGCAACAGCCAAATGCGCATTTAACAATGGACCAATCCTCAAATAAGGAAGCGCATACTAATAAATAAAGACAGCAAAAAATTAAATAACTCTTGGGAGACCAAAAATATACAATATCAGCCATAAGCTCCAAAATGTATCTCCAAAGTCAAAGATAGCATTTTCCACAAGGTGATGTACCTATTTGTTTAGGTTTAGACAAATCCTTTCTTACATAATGACTCTGTACCAATCTGGATCTATGGAATGTAATCTGTGGTGAAGAGCTAATGTATTTGAAAACCGTATCATCTGCCTGCAACAAATACCAAATTTACCCAAAATTTCACGTACCAATTGCTCTGGACCTGTAAAGCGTAAACCAAGTGATAACTCTGGTTGTAGTGTGAATAGATCTAAATTTAGTTTGATGAATTAGGACCTATTTAGGTCTTTAACTCAATTGTAGGCTTTCTTTAAACAAGACCTACTATAGCCCCGTTGCAAGAGGCGTGTCTGTAAGGCCTTGGCTTCATTTACAAAGTCCATAAAATTAGTACAATTCCATTTAATTCTTAGATACTGGCTATACGGAATACTCAATATCAACAATTTAGGATGTGAGCTTGTGGCGTGAAGAATGGTGTTTAATGGTGTTTGTTGGGATACTCAAATGTATTTCTTTTAGTATGAGATTTTTTTATTGATATTATAATAAACATTGTAACTTTTAGCTCATACCTTTGTCGGATTATTTATGGCACCCTTAAAGTCCCGTTTACTTTCTTTTCTATGTGAGGAGTTTATTCTCCTCCTCTTTTTCTACCTTTGTATCTTTTCCTTTCTTCTCTTCGCATGTTGTAGAAAACAGTTTCATGTCACAGGTCATACACCATGGCAAGATTGAGCACGGCAACAAGACACAAGGTAGTTATACTGCATCAGCAAGGTCTCTCCGAGGCAAAGATTTCAAAGCAAACTGGGGTTTAAAGATGTTCTTTTCAAGCTCTTTTAAAGAAGCACAAAGAAACAGGCAAACGTTGAGGACCATAGATGCAGTGTTCGGCCAAGGAAACCTAATGCACCAGATGAATGAAACATCATGCTTATTTCTCTTCGACATCAGAAGATGTCCAGCAGTGCCATCAGCACAGAACTGGGAGAAACCAGCGAGACTGAGGTGCACCTATCTACTGTTCGACAAAGTCTGACCAGAGGTGGTCTTCATGGAAGAATTGCAACCAAAAAGCCACACTTCCAATGTGGAAACAAGGCTAAGCGACTCAACTATGCACAAAAACATGGAACTGTGGTGCAGAAAAATGGCAGCAAGTGCTTTGGACTGATGTAGTTTGTTCTCCGAAGGGCTGGAGAGCAGTACTATGATGAGTGTCTACAGGCAACTGTGAAGCATGGCGGAGGTTCCTTGCACATTTGGGGCTGCATTTCTTCAAATGGAGTTGGGGATATGGTCAGGATCAATGGTGTCCTCATTACAGAGAGATACAGGCAGATGCTTATTTATTATGCCATTCCATCGGGAGGCCGTGTTATAGGCTCTGCAGCAGGACAGAAAACCCAAACATACAGCCAGTGTCATTAAGTACTATCTTCAGCATAAAGAAGAACAAGGAGTCCTGGAAGTGATGTTTTGGCTCCCACAGAGCCCTGGTCTGAACATCATCATGTCTATCTGGGATTACATGAACAGAAGGATTTGAGGCAGCCTACATCTATAGAAGATCTGTGGTTAATTCTCCTAGATGTTTGGAACAACCTACCTGCCGAGTTCCTTCAAAAATTGTGTACAAGACACCTGTCTAAAACATTTGCACAGTACTGTATATGTACTGTTTTACCCATCAAAAATGTGATTCTGTTCATTTGGTTTAGGTAACTGCATAGCTGTGTCAGCAACCTCTGTTTTCTCCAGTTCACTTAGGCAACACACAGCTTAGTCACACACCCACCACCAACCAGCTTATTGGACAAAGAAAGAGCATCACACTATTAATTTTACTTTGCTCTCTCCTTTTGTCCGTTATCATCAAGTGTTACATTGACTGCACTTTACAATGAAGTAGATCCTGACTGACCTTCCCTCTCCTGGTTTTCAAAGCAAGGTTGTGCAAGAGACTACATAAAGCTAAATTTGTTTTTCTAGAATACATAATTGAAGGAGGTGGTGTGTTTGTCTACAGTTTGGCTTTTAGAGCCAATTTACTCCATTGTGGTTAGCAGATGCGTGTTGCTATAAGGCTGCCCTTTTATTTAAATGAGCTTTTTAACATTCCACCTGACGAGTCCTTTGGAAAGGTGCGCTGGGGTGCCATTCAGAATATGTGGCTCCAGTTTGCGCCAATGCACCTGATGTGACTTGGCACACCCCAGTAGTGGGAATGCATTCTTAAAACCTATTTGGACTTTTAGTTAAAGCCTGTTAAAAACATTCCAGGTGTATTCAAAGAAAAGGTGCACAAGCCTACAGTTAACTTTCTTTAGAAAGCGGGCACAACATGAGAATAATAGAAAAGCCTGCCCCCTGAAAAGGAGCCTTGCTCTCACTGTTGAAGCAGTTGTCTCTCTGCAGAGGTCTGACACACCTTTTAAGCTAGAAATCTTCAGTTAGTAGGGAGTGCTGCAGATAAAACATGCTCTGTAGAATTTGCACACTTTTGTTTTGATTTACTTGCAATGTATTGATTTTTTTTCTGAAAATTCAATTGGGCTTTAACATTTTTCATGTTTTAGTTTTATTTTTATATACAGAATTTATATAGCGCCAACAGTTTGTGCAGCGCAGTACACATTACAGTTACAATACAGTTTGGTACAAGAGGAAATGGAGGTCCCTGCTTGTTAGAGCTTACAATCTATAGTACTTTGATGGGTTTACCATACATCATTCATTTTATAGCCTTACCGGTTTGACAATTTTAAATGCATATTTTGTTTTTTGGGGGGGGGGTTCTGTCATTTTATTACTGAATATTATTGTATGTAATGCGAAATCTCTACAAATAGGCCATAATGTGTCATTCAGAGTGTTGAAAGATCTGATGTATTTAAATGTCAACATCTTATATTAAAATGTTGCAAACCCCCGGGAATCCATACAGATCAATGAGATTTAAAGGATGTGTTCACCTTTAGTAATAAGTTCCACCCATATTCAGGGTTTAACCTGTAACAGGTTACTAAAGCATCTGCTGGCACCCTGACCCAATCTTTCATTATGATAGTGGGTGGGAGATTCTATCCCCACATCCGCTGTCACAATTCAAAAACAGCACAGCTCTGCGGAGTTCTGCCCACACAGCGGCACCATTCATTCACAGAGATCTGTAAAGGAACGAACTACAAGTTCTGTCTGCCACAGCAGGCGGCTTGTGGTTCTCAATGAACTGCAAGGGCACTGATGAGCAGTAGTTCTCGTAGTTCATTGATCTTCCTGCAGTTAAGTAACTATCTTCCCAAAAAGGAGGTACAAGCATAGAGCCATATTGACAGTCTGCAGGAGCCTGACATTGCACCCACAATTTGCTGATTGTGGTTGCAATGCTTTACAGGCTCCTAAGAAAAAAAAAAAAAAATTATAAATGCACATTTTTTTTTTATCTGCAAAAAAAATTTGCATGTATTATTTTTTTTTAAAGTGAACTTGTCCTTTAATCTCTTTACCAGTCCCCACCCAGCCTATAGGAGAATGATGGCCAAGCAGGACTTTCATCAATCCGGGTAGACGTCATACAACATCCTCCTGGATCGCCGCTAGACTGCGCTAAGGCGAGATCTTTCACCGGCTGTGTCCAAAGGACACATCCAATGACCGATCTGTGTACTGGCCCATTGCCAGTAGGACACAGTCGATGACTGGTCTGTGTATCGGCTCATTGCTAGTGCCATGTGATCGCTGTGACCAATAACAGCAGGTCACATGACAATTGTAAACAATAGATGCTTCCTGAAAATTGGCCTGAGCAGGAAGGGGGTAAAAGTTCCCTGTTGATGAGGTTAAAAGAGCCGATTCCAGATATTAAAAATTATGTTGCCATGGGTTACTACACTGAGCATATTAACTTTTTCTTTCTTTATACTTTTTTTTTTTAATAAATCTATAGGTCAAATATGCCTGCATTCCCACAGCCTAATGTTAATTTTTTTTTCTCTTTTGAACTTAAAAGAAATCTGTTATGAAGCTACTGTATGTGCAAACAAAGTTCATCTGGGAAAAAGTGCTTGTGTTCCAAAAGATATCTTTCCTCCAATATATGTGTCCACATTGTGATGTCCTCCACCACAAATGGCGCTGCTGTGTAAAATCTTTATATTTTTATATAAAAGCATTAAAACCAAAATGCACTTGTATTTGGATGTGTCTTGTCCCAACACGAAGATTTATATCATATGTAGTCAGTAGCACTGTGGGGATGCGGAATTGGACACTTTACGAATTGGACTATTTATGTTGTTTGTAGTATGCACAAATTTCAGGAAATTACACTGTATATTATTGGGTATTGCTAAAAGGGGATAGTGCAGTCACCATTTATGTTATATTTTGAGAGTTTTTTTTCATTTCAGCAGCTTTCCCTTTTCCAGATATTTGTTTATACTGTACATATTTTTCTCATGTGGCGCAGACTATTGTTTGGTATCAAGATCAGCTATCAAATGAGAAAATGGTAATGGAAAGCAATGTTCATGCTGATTTAGGGACTAGATCCCCCCAAAAAACGTCAATTCAAAGAGAAAAAAAGAATATTTCATATTGATTATTATGCGTCTGTTTTCCTTATTTTAGTTGTAAATGTGGAGTGGTGGAAAGAAAAAAACTCAACAAGCGGTCTTCATAACATGCGTTCAACGTTGGAGTACATGTCAACAAAAGAGGATATAAATGCACAGTTTTCATGTGCGGTGATTTATTACATACCAAATGCACTGGCAACAATGGAATCTGATCCAGCTGTATTTGATATTTACTGTAAGTACTTTTTTTTCTTTGAAAATTAAATTTTAAATAACTATACTGTTGTACAATTATTCTTTAACCAGTTCCCACCCGACCAGTAACAAAATGATAACTGGATGCTATTTTCGTCGATCTGGGTAGACGTCATATGACGTCCTCCCAGATCACCACCTTGCACATGCCCACGGAGCCGTGCTCTGTTGAGTTGTCTCCGGCTGTGTCCGGTGGACACAGCCAATGACCGATCTGTGTACCATCCCAGTGCTGGTACCATGCGACCGCTGTGACCAATCACTTGACAATTGTAAACAATGGATGGCTTTCTTTCCTGCCAATCACGGCCCATCTGTGTTATGTGATTAGCTGTGGTCAATCACAACTAATCAAAACAAAAACAAACATTAATTGATTTCATTTAGTTAAATGCTTGCCTATAGCAGTGAAATTCACTGCTATAGGCAATCATAATGTGTAAAAAAAAAATTATCACTTCTCCAGAGCAGTACAATGTTAACATTATAGTACTCTGATCACAGTGTTTTGTTTTTTTTTTTTTTGTTAAAGGAATCATAAAAAAAATAAAAAAAATGTAATAAAGAATTGTAAAATACATTTTTTGTTTTTCCCCTACACGGTCACAACTGTCCTTGATCACTGCCACACTAGTTATATGATGACGTGGTACTGCACTGGTGACAGTATGTTAAAAAAAATGGTGAAAACATTTTTTTTAATTTATTTTTTCCAAAAATTGTGACAAAAAAATTACAATGTCAAAAAACTCACCATGCCTCTTACTAAAGACCGCAGACTACTTTCCAAACAGAGGTAATTTGGGGGAAATCTGTACTGTCCTGGCATTTTTGGGTCTCAAAAAATGAAATCGACCATCAGTACATCAGGATTGATCGATTTTTCGAAGTATATACCATAGTTTGTGGACTCTATAACTTACCTACAGACTAAATAATATACATTAATTTGGGTTATTTTCACCAAAGAAATATAGCAGTATAGATTGTGGCTTAAATTTATGAAGAACAATTCTTTATTTGCAAAATGTTATAACAGAAACAAATAAAAACTTGGGTTTTTTCAACATTTTTGATCTTTTTCCGTTTATTTAGCAAAAAATAAATGTGGGTACAGTGTTGCATGACCACACAATTGTCACTTAAACTGTGATAGCACTGAAAGCTGAAAATTGCCCTGTGCAGGAAGGGGGTAAAAGTGCTCGGTATTAAAGTGGTTAAAGTAGAACTATAGACAAAACTTTTATTTGTTTTGGATAGATTTGAATTTCTTTTGCCATCTGTGTCCCAGTGTGGAGATTTCCCTTCACTTACTGTCCTATAGGCAAACAGGAAGTGAGAGGAAATCCCTGCAAATTAAGGGAATTCCTTTGGGACCCCCAGGTTACCAGAACTAGTGTCCCCATTGAATATTTCCCCTCTATTACTTTTCTGGGGACATTCCAAAATGTGGGATTTACTTTCACTTTCAATGATAATTGTAAACAGGACAAATAGAGAGGGTGAATTTACCTAATAGACAGTAAAAAAATGGACAGGTTTTGCCTTTATTTATACTTGAAATGATTCTTCCACTCCCTCAGATCTTATACTCACCTGTCCATGATCCTGCCAGATCCACACTGTGTGGCCCTTAGGGAGCTGCACAGCTGCCTTTTGGAATTTCTCCTAGCTGGTCCTGGTCAAAGAAGACTTTGAGATTGACATTCGAAGACATTTGCGGAGTGGCTGTGCTGTTCACCACGGAGCACCTAAATCTCATAAAACTCTTTAAATCTGAATTTAAATTGCACTGCACTCTACAAATATTAAAGAGTAAGGCCACCAAGAACAGAGGTTTTCTATTTTTCTGTTCAACCACAGTTTCCATACTGTACATCAATAGGAGGCTCAGATAGCAAGATTTCTTTGAATAACCATTAAAGAGAGTGCAGCAACTGGCACTTTTTGTTGGTCTTGTAACAACCTTGCTGGGGAAGGTATCATAACAGGACTCCAGCACTCTGCACGGTTAGGGATGTATATACTGTATATGTTGTGTGTGTGTGTGTGTGTATATATATATATGTGGGATATATATATATATATATATATATATATATACAGCAAAACATGGTGGTGCAAGACTGCTAGAAGAGAGGAGGATCTTTGGAGGACAGTGCTGGATCTGTTGGGTGTGCGAGTATGTGAAATGTACAGAACCCGCCATCATGAAGGTAGGGAGGGTAGGAGTCTACAAAGAGGCCGGGGGGGGGGGGAAATATCACTTTAATATACAAACAAAATGTATAATTCAGTCAATTAAATTCTATATTGTGTGCATGCTAAACCTGTTTCAACTTGTCCATTCTTTCTCAGACCCTACAGAAAAGGTGACAATTCATGTACAGTCCCCGAAAAAGACAATAAAAGAAGGCGATAACATCACACTGAAATGTATAGGGAATGGCAATCCACCTCCGGAGGAATTTTTGTTTTTCCTTCCAGTAAGTTTTTCTTTTTCTATATCTGTTTGGTATTGTTTATAGCATTCAGACATAAAATTGGGCGGAATTTTTTGTACAGCATTACTGCTGTTCACATCGGCCATTTACAAAATATGTTATCTACACTGCCAAGTAGTGCAAATGGAATGCTTACAGCCACTTTGTAGTATTTGGAAAGAAGGATAGAAGGAATGGGAGCCTGTTGCAAATCAATTTTAAATATTTCCTCTGTACTCCCATTGTATATGCCACAACCATGAAATAATTGTATGATGTAAATGGAATTTATATTTTTACAAGTCGTGTGTGCATGTGCTCACTCATTATTGATTTTTCATTAATTATATAAGGTGAGAATAAGGTGGGCCACTTTCAAAGTGGCCATGTCTGTGTGACTTCATGCACAGATGTCAATGCAAGTTGCCCTAGAAATTGGCAAGAGCAGTGAAGGAACTACTTTTCAAATCATTGCGACTCCGATGAAGTTGGAGTTGCATTGATTAGAATGGTTCCATTGCCGATCATAGGGTGCGAGGTATGTTGCGATTTGAACGGTCAAATCTCATGACAAGTCATATCAGTGTGAATGGGGCTTAGACTATATTGGCATACTTCCACACTCCAATACATAACTGTGCTGAATAGCTAATATTTTGTCTCACCTGGGCTGTAGGTTCAATCATTTGGTTAATTTCCATCTCATGTTTCTTGGAGTAGACTTCAGAGGGGTGTGATGCACTTATTGTTGCGCACATGTTCTGGAATTTGTATTCAAATTCAGATTTGGTGATTGAAGTGACTTACCACAATTACCAGATCGATCTATTCAGTTTTATTATTTTGCCTTGGTTTGCACAACTAAAGGATTTAAAACAAAAGCATTTTTTATTGTGGATAAAAATGGAGAAGGATTTTAACCTCTGTTTTTTATGGCTTTGCGTACTCTACTGGGGATATCCTCTTGCTTCTTGCCTTGGTGGCACTAGTCACATGGAGAGGAAATGAAGCAAAATCTTCTCAATAGAGAAATAATTCTGGCATTCAACTTTAACCATTGTAGCAGACTTGTTAATAAAATTTTGCGGGGCGCATGCGCGACCAGGGATGATGTCGGACGCAGATTGCTGAGCTCCGCTCATCCCCGGCCAGTAGTGACTCACCCGCTCCGCTCCACGGCATATTCTCTGCTACGGGTGAGTCACACAGTACAAGCACCCGGCCCAGCATAAGGGAGAGGCTTCCATGGGGAAGATAGGGCGCTGGAAGCCCCCCTCCCCGCAGCCGCAGGATCCGCGGCCCTCTCGCCACTCCCGACGATTTTTGACTAGGCCGCAATCCCCGGCCTCAAGTAGTGTCAGGAGTCCGAGGAACGATCCCGGACCCCCAGTGGCCGCGGAGGGTACTGCACCCTGCACTCTAACAGAGCAGCTGACAGCCTCTGCTCTGATCCATCCACAAATGGAGGCTCCCGGACCCCCGGTTGGCCGCGGAGGGTACTGCACCCTGCATTATAACAGAGCAGCTGACAGCCTCTGCTCTGATCCATCCCCAAAGGGAGGATTCTGATTCCCAAGCCACAGCAGGAGGGGTTATGGACCACCCTACACCAGGGTATCTTCCTCCCCCTAGCCAAAACCCTCAGCAGGCTATATTGTCCTCTACGCTTACAATTTCTGCGTTGGACGATAAGTTGCAAATCTTTTTACGTAATATCACCACCTCCATAACCGCTGAAGTTGGTAAATTGGCTATAGATCTCAGAGGGGAAATAGCCCAGATTGGAGACCGCACGGATAAACTGGAAAACAAGTTTGATGATTTGGTGCAATACGTTCATGTCTTGGAGGAAGATAACGCATATCTGAAACACTCCATGTCCCAAATGCAGCTCCAACAGGAAGACCTGGAAAACAGGGAACGGCGCCAAAATATCCGTATTCGCGGTATGGCCGAATCTATTTCTGATGCACAACTACACCGCCACCTACTGTCCTTCTTCATCGCAACTGCTCCCATGATCCCAGAGGCAGACTGGCGAATGGACAGGGCTCATCGCTCTAAACCTGTTGAGGGCTCCAGGCCACGCGACGTCATAGTCCGTTTCCACTACTTTCAAAGCAAAGAAGCCTTACTATCATCGGTTCGCCACAAATCCTCTTTGGAATTTAAAGGTGACAGACTCCAACTCTTCTGCGATCTTTCTCCGATTACTCTTGCCAAACGGCGTGCTCTGAAGCCGATCACCACACACCTTCAGCAACATCGTGTCCTGTATCGTTGGGGGTTTCCCTTCAAGCTGGTCGTTTCTAGGGACAATACTCAAGTTGTTCTCCGGGATCTTCATGAAGCGGACTCTTTCCTAAAACAGTTGGGACTTCCACCTTTATCGGATGATGTGTCCTCTTTGCCGCCTACCCCATCCCGTCCTTCCGCCACCCCCAACAAGATCTGGACACCAGTCCGCGGAGGTCGGAAGAGACTCTCACGCACCCCGCAACGTCCGCGTTCTTCTCAATCAAGTGATCCACCTGCCTGATGATTCTCAGGGGTGACCTTCTGTGGCTAATCTGGTGCTGTTCTCTCTCTCCTGTTTCATACATGGTTTTTATACCATGTATGAAATTTTTGTCATTTTGGCCGGCCAAACCCTTGTTGGGTGAATTTTTTGCTTCTGTTTCTCCTGGCCGGGTTTGACGACCTCCCGGTTGTGTCGGATGTCGTGCTACCCCCGATCTTGTCTAGCCATTGGCCTAGACGACTTGGACTTAGTTGACGTTCCCAAGTTTATATCCTTGCGGATACTTGTTTTTCACTGTATATTCTTTTCTTTTGTGTTATTTGCTTGTTTTATGTTTTTTGTTTTCTATTCTACTACATCAATGGTATTTCACTCATTTGTCATGGTAATACATGTAGTTCAGTTGTTGTTATTTCATAATGGCTTTGAGGTTTCTGTCGTATAATGTTAAGGGCCTCAACTCCATTCAAATGGATGGCTTTGAAGGAATTTCGATCCTCAGGAGCAGACATTATTTTTGTCCAAGAGACCCATTTCAAATCATCTGGCTCCTTTCGTTTTGCCTCAAGATTTTTTTTCCCAAGCCTATTCGGCCTTTGATCCTTCCGGGAAGGCCGGGGTGGCAATTTTGATTAGGTCACACTGCTCTCCCTTCGGGTTGTTTCCTCCAAGGTTGACCAACAGGGGTCGCTTTATTATTTTGGAATGTATGCTTGGTGACACCCCCCTTGTTCTGTTGAATTTATACGCCCCAAATACGGGTCAATTGCAGTTCTTTTCCCAAACACTCGCTGACCTAGATTCCATTTCCACTTCGCAGGTGATTGTTGGGGGTGATTTTAATTAGATTTTTTCCCCTCATAAAGACAGGAAGGTTCTTTTTGAGTCCACCCCCTCGAGGCGGCAATGCTCCTCTTCAAAATCTTTTCATAGACTGATAAGGGAGCATCGTCTCTTCGACGCCTGGCGGATTAAACACCCCCTTCATAAACAATTCACTTTCTACTCCACCCCTCACCGTAGTTACTCTCGTCTAGATCATTTTTTCATCTCTGCCCCACTGCTTTCACTTCTGGTTTCTTCTGAAATCAACCCCATCACTTGGTCTGACCATGCCTCTTTGACTTTAAACCTTTTTTTTCCTCCTGTTATACCCAAACCATGTCATTGGCGCCTTAATGAGACCTTTCTTTCCACAGACCATTTTAGAGATGAACTGTCGCAGGGACTTGATACCTACTTTACACACAATGTTGGCTCCGTTGCCTCTTCCTCAACTCTGTGGGAGGCCCATAAGGCGGTCTTTCGAGGACTCTGTATTTCTATGGGTTCTCGTTTAAAAAAGTCCTCGGCGAGTGCTAGGGCCTCTCTTATACATCAGCTATCTTTTGCGGAACGACGGTTACTGGCCAAGCCGTCCATTTCTGGGCTCCAGAGGGTAACATCTCTACGGGACCAAATTAAAGTTCTCGACTCCAGTAAGACTGCACAATCCCTCCTCTGGGTTTAAGCAGAAATTTTATGAATTTTCCAACAAACCCCATCGTATGTTAGTCAATCGACTCAAAGCTCAGTCCCCTTCTACGATGCCTGACCTTTTAATACAGCCAAATGGAAGCCCTACCTATGACCCTCGGGATATGGCAACCCTTTTTGGCTCATTATATGGGAAACTGTATAACTGTTTGACCCCAGACCTTCACCCGCCCCTCACACAGTCATCGTTTGATAATTTTTTTGACCCTTTGTCACTTCCGAGAATATCACCTTCAGACATTGCCACCCTTAATGCTGACATTACGCTAGAGGAATTACTGGACACAATTAAACATCTCCCTTCTCGTAAAGCCCCGGGACCGGATGGATTGCCCTACTCCTATTATAAATCTTTTATTGGTATTCTAGCACCTCATCTCCTCTCTTTTTATCGAGATCTTTTCAAGGGGGTCACACCCCCAGACTGAATTCTCCCGTGCATATATCTCGGTTATCCCTAAACCCGATAAGGATCACTCTATTGTAGACAACTACCGCCCCATTGCCCTACTTAATTCCGATTATAAGATTTTCACTAAAATTTTGGCCAACCGACTGTCCGGAATTATTTCCATACTCATACATAGGGACCAAGTGGGCTTTGTACCTGCCAGACATGCTGCAGATAATACCAGGAGATCTATTGATCTGGTTGACTTGGTTAACCGATCCTCTACCCCTGCTGTGTTATTGAGCTTAGATGCTCAAAAAGCTTTCGACCGTTTTAAGTTGGCCTTATATGTTTATGGTCTTGGAGAGATTTGGTTTTAGAGGCCCATTTGTAGCAGCCTTGAAGGCCCTTTATTCATCCCCCTTCTCGCAGGTCAGATTAGCTTCTTTTCTTTCACTTCCCTTTCAGATGTCAAATGGCACACGTCAGGGTTGCCCCACTCTCTCCCTTGCTGTTCATTCTTTGTCTGGAACCATTAGCCATCGCCATCAGGTC